GCCGGTGAGATTAGAACCGCTGAACTGCAGATAACAGTCAGCTGAAGTGGCCTGCAGTACTGCACCCTAACCACTGCGCCACCTCGGCTCTAAGTTTTAAGGTCCTTCCAGAAATCCAAAAGGGTGGAGCACCAATCTGTTCCATAGGGCAGGAGTTACGGCAGAAAAGATTCTTCTCTTAAGCCCAGGGGTGAAATGCTACCGGTTCGGACCAGTTCACTCAAACCGGTAGTAAAAAATGCTACCGGTTCAGATGAACTGGTATTTCCGACAATCAACTGTGGTGCACGATTTATATTAGCTAGAATGATCACATTTCCTACTTTCTAACTAACCTAAATTGGGTGACACAACATATTCCACCCTCCTTGCTCTTCTATTTACCTTTGCAGACTCGAAAGGCTTCAAAATGTTCCTTTTCAACACTGCTTGGGCATGCCTCAGGCGCACATGCGCGCAAAGTGTACATGCAGATGTAAAGCATGCACTCGGTAGCAGACTCACTGAACCAGTAGCAGATTTCAGAGGATTTCACTGCTGCCTAGACCCCATCAGCTAAAATTCCTTGACAGATGGGTTCTGCAGCATATCCCTTCCACTGGAACGAGTAGGGAGGCCAATCTCAAATCAAATGATTTGTTTGATTTTTGTTGTTGTTGTTGTTTCTATTCCAAAAGAGAAGAAGTGATCTGGGAATTGACTTCAGCAAGACTTTTTTTTTTTTTTTTTTTTTTTTTGTGGTGGTGGGAAAAAAAGTAACCATCTTCAATTACAGATTCAGGCAGACGGTGCCAGAAATGGAAAAGAAAGATATGGAAATGCTTTAAATACTGAACAAAAGAACCCATGTTGCAGCTTCCCCCACCCCCACCAGTCACACTGGTAGATCCATAATGCTAGATCTTACTTTAAAAAAAAGGGTAAAGGTTTTCCCTGACCCAGTGTCTCACTCTAGGCAGGGTGTCAAACTGGCAGCCTGTGAACTGAATGCATCATGCACAGGTCATACCCATCCCAGCTCTGTGAAGGGGAAAGACATCACAATATGTCACGTGATAGCAATGTGATATGACAAGTTTGACATGTGTTCTAGGAGGTAGTGCTCCTCTTGTTTCTTAATTGAGCCAACATTGTCTGAAGACACTTCCATGGTCATGTGGCTAGCATGGCTTTATACTGAGGACACAGAATGCTGTTACCTTCCCATCAAAATGGTACCTTTTATCTAGTTACATTTGCATATGCTTTCAAACTTCTGTGTTGGTAGCAGCTCGGCTAAGAACTCATCCCATCAAATGATACTTGGGTCTCAAACGTCTGAAAAAGAAATATCTTTTTAAATGTCAATTGACATCAGGGGTGGGTTCCTGCCAGTTCTAACTTCTTCTAAAAAGAGATTCCACAAATCTACAGTGCTGTTTAGAACCGGTTCCATCTCCCTCCTTCCGCCCATCTGCACATCATCAAGATGAAGACCGAGAGGAAGAATTCTTGGAGTTGAAGTCCACAAGTTTTAAACCTGTCAAGTTTGAACACCCCTGGTTTTTTTTAAAGGGTAAGGGTGCAAGGGTCTTGTAACTTGACAGCTTTGAGACTTGCACGCTTCAATGCCAGAGTTCCTGAGCCAACATGACTGGTGGATGAATTCTGGGAGTTGAAGTCCACAAGCCTTAAAGCTGGCAAGTTTGAACACCCCTGGTTTTTTTTCTAAAGGGTTAGGGGTGCAAGGGTCTTGTAACTTCACAGCTTTAAGACTTCTGTCCTTCAAATGCCAGAGTTTCTGAGCCGACATTTTGGTTGCTAAGCAAGAGCGTTGTTAAGTGAGTTTCACCACATTTTACAAATTGGTCACGCCCACCCAGTCACATGACCACCAAGCCACTCCTACGTGGTCACATGGCCAGCAAGCCACTCCCACAAAGCAGGCCACACCTACAGAATAGGTTCTAAAAAATTTTGAAACCCACCACTGATTGATATGCATTCTTATGCAGGCAATATTTAAATTTGGCATCCTTCTTCAAAATATTTTAAAATAAAATTTTAAACTACTCCCTATAGATGGTTGAAAGCTTTACTGCATCTTAACTCTTTATTTGTTCCAATTCCTTGTGGTTTTTTTTCTAATATCAATAGCATTACATTAAAAAGCATATAGGAAGGAATATTATAATAATTATACTGCCACGTTATATTGAAACCTTGGTTTTTGATGGGATCTTTGTCTCCAACAGAAATTTTGAGGTGTGAATATTTTAAAAGAAACATTAAGTTTGGANTGAGCCGGTGAGATTTGAACAGCCGAACTGCAGAACTGCAGTCAGCTGAAGTAGCCTGCAGTGCTGCATTTAACCACTGCACCACCTCGGCTCGGGTAGAAGACAGGCTTCTCTGAGTTATGCCTCTATTCCTTAAACGCCACTGTTCTTCCAATCCTTTAGGTTGTTCTGTTTCCCAACGGCTGTGATGAGGACGAATGCACCTGCCGGGATCCAGCAGCAGAAGAAAATCAGTAGCCCACTGCAGCAGCCCACTAGGACACGTTGTGCTGCTAAGGCTCAACTTGGAAGAAATGACAAAGGCTTGAGGGAAAGCATAAATAGGAGACAGCAAGGGCTGAAGAAAAGGATTCAGGGGAAGTCTGGTCCTGCACTTGATGTGTAAGTGCATAAAGAAGAAAGGAAGAAATTTTGAAGAAAGAGGTGGAGAAGAGAGCAAGAAAACGAAACACCCTTGGTCAACTGGACCTCCAGTCTACCTTCCATGCCACATCAATGGCTTGCCACCTGGACTGTGTCTTTGCTCTGACATTTTATTGGTGTGCGCTTCTCTGGAGCTTGATTTAGCAAAGCTAAAGAGGGAAATGTGATCCTGTCTGCAAATATTTAAACATAATTTTATTACAAATCTATATAATATTTTTACTTGCTGTTTAGTAAACTAAATCATGCTGCTGTGAAACACACGACATTAGAAACGTGGGGTCATGTAATGAACATTCCCAGAAACCCAGCAGAATTCCAATGGGGCCCTTATAAATATCTAAATGAAGCAGTAATTGCTTCCCCCCCACCCTAAATTATTTCACACTCAACTGCAGAGTTAAAGTCATGTATGAGAATGCTCTTGTCAGTCATATCTGCCTGCACTTCTACCACAAAGAAGCAATGCCTGTTTTTTTTTACTGGGCATATATAAATACCCATTCCTCTAGTTCCTAAGCAGCATTACAAGTAGTAATCTAAAGAAATGAAAGGCATATGATATAAGAACCCCCCCATTAAAACTTAATGTATTTTAAAACCACACCAGTTACTATACTTCTTCATCCATTTCTACCCTTCCAAATCACTCTTACTTCTTCTGTGTCATACACTGTTCTATTCTGCTGACTTTAACTAGGATGTTAGTTCTGTCACTTCCTTAATAACGAAGAAGGCAGAAGCATCCTAAAAACCATTTCTGACAAACATTCATTCCACACAATAGACCAAATACTTGTCATTATCTTTTCATCCCTTAAAATTTCTCTGTTTTCCATTCTTTTGTAAACATTGTGGGGAGATACATAAACTCATTTACTTTTTCCAGTTTTGGTATTTATGTAGGAATAGCAAACATGCGCTAAACACAGCTTCCTTGACCTTTGATGCATCAGTTTTAAAATCTATACTGTTAACTCTGCCCGCCTACCCATCTAACATTTGCTGCAAAACTTTCAAACCTGTTGCCAGCCAATACACTTCAAAGATTCCTTATATAGTAGTTATCCATAAATATAGTAAAAGAAGAATGAGTCACCGGCCCTTGTTTATTCTCACCCATACTTTTCTTTCATCGCTCCTCTCATCACATTCACCAACTTTCGACTCTGTGCTTTCAAATCATCCATGATTTAAATGTATTCACTTTATTTCATACTTTCTCTAAACCATTGTATAATGCATTTCTTTTTAATGTGTTTCTGTTTCATATTTATGCATTTCTTAGTGACCTGATAAAAACTGGTTGCTCACTGCTTGCCTGGCATAAAGCTGGATTTCTTGTTGTTGTGTCTCCCAGCCTTTCAATTAGAATTCTGAAAAATGTTTCCCCAAATACACTTAACAACTCCCACCATAAATGTATTACTCAGTCTTGCTATTCTTTCCTTGAAGGAGAATAGTGATAACAACATCCATCCATTTATCAAACTCAGGTGCAGCCTTCCCATTAAATGAGCCAGCCATTCTGTAGGCAAACCACACCTTTGTTTTAAGATTTATACCACCTATACTTGCAATTTTACCATTTCTCAACAGTATTTATGATAGCCTTTAGCAGTTTTCCTCTTTGAACACTACTGTTTATATTTCAATATATGTGATTTCATTAAGAAATTTGATTATAATAATTTCTAATACAAACTAAAAGACAGAAAATGAATAGAAAAGTGAAAAGTGAAAAAAAGAAAAAAGTAATAAATATAATAAAGAGAAAAGAAATATATAAATAAGTATCTTCCAACCTTCATCACAAGTATAAAGAAATATAATAACCCTTAATCCACGCTAAGGCTATAAGCATTTATCTCTTCATCCCATAAACCATCTATATCTTATCTATAATCAAATGCATAAAACACCATCTTTTCAAGCCTCATATCAACACTGTGTATAAAGGGTTACTAGAGGGAATAACATATCCTGTGTTAACCTTGTTGTTAAATCTTATATTCCTTCCTTTTACTTCAAACAAATCTAATTTTTAGTCCATACAAATATTGCTGGATTTGATTTCTCTTCATTTATTCTTTGTCTGAGTGCTCAGAGTTGTTTAAGGTTTTTAACAAGCCTGTTTTGTAAGTCAAATAGGAAAACAAAATCCACTTACTACAAGTCACTCTCTTAATTTGCCATTTGTATTTCCCTTTTAAATTTTAAAACCTCAATCGGTGTGTTTTATAGATCCAATGAAACATCCTTTTCTAGATCATTCTCTTGACCTGTCAGTTATAAATCTACTTGAGATGCCATCTCTATTGGATCAGATAAACTTTGTTCTACATTTGTCATTTCTTCAGTAACACATTTTTGGACATAATATATCCATGGAAGCAGCCATATGGTTGATATTGTGGCTACCATTTTCTGATTCCATTCTTCAAAAGTTTCCTTCAATATTTTATTATTGTTACAACATGTTGCAACATTTTACAGGCTTGTAAATCTCTCCTCTGCCCAAAAACTTTAGTCCCCTCTAGTGTTCAGTTTTTGAAATCATGAAATTGTTTACCTTTCTTTTTGCCTTCTAATAAAAGAGTCTATTTCCCATTAACTGTGTATTCATTATCATTAATTCCAAAATCTTACCGCACATGTTTCAATAGTCCAATTTTATCTAGCCCATTTATTCCTTCTTTTTTCTCCATATGCACATTTTATACAGTTATCTTTCATCTGTAATTTTGCTGCAGTCATTATTTAATGTGATTTTTTTGTTTCCCTTTGTGACTTCTTAATTTCATTTAGCATTCTTCTGCATAAATTCCATTAGGAGAATTCCACCTACTTTTGTAGCCCTATGTAATGCAATTCTTTTCTCTCGGTTGCCATCAGCTTCCACATCTTATTCGAGGGTTTGGTTTTTTTGTGGTTATTCTGTTTGAAGAGTAAACTATCCTTCACACAGAACTTCTACTTCTTGCAGATCAGGAAAGGAAAGGATAAAAGACAGCGTTGTTTACTAACAATCTTTTAGCCAATTTTGTACATTGATGTAGAAAGATTGTATGTGTTGAAGGAATAATTACCTGAAGAGATGCAATTTAGGGAAAGTGTTACTGCTTGATTTTGTTCATTGTATATATGGCCTTATGGGTATTCAAAGTATGCTTCCACATTTTTTAAACTTAATATATGCATATAGCACCTATAAAGGAAACTTGACATCAACATTCAGAAATTAGAAGTTTAGCTGTCTTTACTATAACATCACTCTAGTGTCTAACCAACTTTCCCAAACCATATTTTATCTATTTGAATCCAGAAAGACAAACTTTATGAAAACTTTCTGAATGATCACTACTGATAGGCCTTTCCTTATCACTAGGCATATTTGATCAGACATGTCGAGCACATTTAGTATTTCCTTTGTGGTGCAGAATTACAATAGGGTAGTTCTTGTGGGTTTTTTAAAAGAGGTTTTGAATGTCACTCATGTCGGGGTTCCCTATGGTGGCACCCCCAGTGAAAATGGGCTTTTGAGCTCCATTTTCGGCTGTGATGGTTTTTTAAAAGAGGTTTTGAATTATAGTATAAAAATGTATAAAATCTGCACCAAAATTTATCATGCATCCCTTGAGTCTGACACCTTAATTGCCTCATTTTAGTCTTCTTCATCTGGGAATGATGACATTTGTACAGATAATGGGGTAATTTCGTCTCTTTCTGGCCCAGCTACAATTTTTAAAGTTTGAATGCTAAATTAACCCAAGTATGACACTTTAAAAGCTCGCAGGAATACTATTTGGTTAGTATGGCTTAATGGGCTCAAGGAGCTGAACATACGGTGATGTTCGCTATATGGAAAGTTCTGTGTGACTTGCAACCATTTATCTGGGTTGGTTCCACCACAAAACCGCGGTAGACAAAAGCGCGGTCGACGAAAGCGCGTATGTGACGTCATCACAGNTGCAAGAAAAGTACGAAGCTCAGAGAGCACTGAGGACTGCACACACACACACACACACAGCTCCTCCTCCTCCTCCTCCTCCTCCTCCTCCTCTAACTCTCCTCCTCCCATTCTCCTTTTCCTCCATAAACTCTCTCCCTCCTCTTCCTGATGATGTTATATAGTTTGGCCCTGAAACATCCGCAAGAAAACAGGCCAGGCTCAGAGAGCACCAGGGACCCTGCAGGTAGATTGACTGGCCTGGAGATGAGACCCCCAAACGGGTGAAATTGCTTCTTTTCGTAACAGCGCAGGACCCCCAACACGAAGGACCCTCCCTGCGTGCGCGCCACCCTCTCACCAAGGCCTGCAAAGAGAGAGAGAGAGAGAGGGAGATTCTTTCTCCCTTTTCTGGCTTTTCTCCACACGGCTGCCCTTCTCTGGCCCCCTGGTGCTTGGCTTACGGGTGGTCCTTGACTTACGGCGGTTCATTTAGTGGCCGAAGTTGCAACGGCACTGAAAAACGTGAGTTATGACCATTTCTCACACCTACGACCGTCAAAGCGTTCCCTCCATGGCAGTGTTTCTCAACCTTGGCGACTTTAAGTCCTGTGGACTTCAACTCCCAGAATTCCCCAGCCAGCTGTGCTTGACTCCCTCTTCTTTGGGGCAACCCCTGAGATATTGGAAGACTGCTGTCATATCTCCCCTGGTCCTTCTTTTCATTCAACTAGACCAGGAGTTTGCAACCTTAAACATTAAAAGAGCCACAAAGGTCCTAACCGGAAGCCCCCCCCCTTCAATTCTGAAGCTGACCGGAAGTCCGGTTCCCCCACCATAGAGTCTCCTCCTAGCGCGGTGTCCTTTTCCCTCTACCTGTCCTAACCGAAAGCCCCGTCAATGGTGGAGCCGACTGTCAACAGGGAGCCGCAGCAGAGGGACGGAAGATCCCACATGCGGCTCCAGTGGGTTACTGAGCCCCGAACGAGACCTGCCTGGTTCCAGCAATCGCTCTTCTTCATATGTTTGAGCCTCTCGTCCCCTAATCCTCTTCCTTGCTTTTCTCTGCACCCTTTCCAGAGTCCCCACCTCTTTTTTATAATATGGCAGATCTCCCAAGTGTCCAGGCATTTTTGGAAATGGCCTCAGAGGGTGCAGGGGTCTCTCCAAGGCCTACAGCCCCCCTCCCCCCCCATCCTCAGTTACACCTGAGCATCAGGCAGGGTATGAAAGGAGGGGGAGCGGGGGTCAAAGGGAAGGGGGGGAGTGGATAATGGCTGGAACAAGAGACTTCGGGCTGCCATTGTGAGGAGCATTTGCCGTGAAGGACAATTTATTAACCAGGGAGGAAGGCGGGGGGCTCTGCGTCTTTCCCCCCCCCCCAGCTGAGAAGTTAAAAAGCTTTGAGACTGAGCCGGGATGGAGGAGAGAGATTTGCAGGCGAGGCTCTTCGCCCCGCTGTGCTGCTTTCCGAGGAAATGGCGCCCCAGGCTGAGCCGCAGAGCCTCTGCTGAAAAAGCCCCCGTTTTATTTGCAAATATGCAGAAGAGCAAGGAAAATCCCCCCCCCCCACCCACCCCCATTATCTTCTCCCGGCAATCTGTCACATGTAGCAGCTTCTGTCGGAAGGAGGAGACGATGGCAGACGGGAGGAGAAGGGCTTGGAAGGGACCCAGCCTCCGTCAGGGAGGTTCCCAGAATTGGCCTGGTTCTTTTGGGCCAGTTGCTGGTCCTTCCTTCTTCTTGGGGGTCTTTCCTTGGATGGGGCTTCCCCCATAACCACCCAGACTTTTCTGTGGACATCCTCCATCATCCCAAGGCTGCTCCCCCCCCTCCCAGAGGCAACTGGAGTTTCTGCTTTTTTTCTTTTGGAGACGTTTCACTTCTCCTCCAAGAAGCTTCTTCAGCTCTGACAATTTGCAGCTTTTGAAATTTCGCCTCTGAAAAATTGCAGACCACAGGAACCACCCAGAGGACACAGAGGAACCTCCAAGCGGCCTCAATGACCCTCTCAATAAAAGGATGCAAATGACCAGCTTTGTCTGCAAGGAGTATCAGTCCTTCCATTCCCCAGTTCCACCACAAAACCATGGACGACAAAATCACGGTCGACGAAAGCGCGTATGTGACGTCATCACAGCACGACGAAAAAGATCGAAAAATGTAAAAATAAAGCGAAAACCTTACCCTAACCCCCCCAAACCTAACCCTAAACGTAACCCTTAACCTAACGAAAAACCTAACGCTAACCCTAACCCTTAACCTAACCCTTACCTTTATGTGAATCGGCTTGCTGTAATTTAATTTTTATTTCAATTTTTCGATCTTTTTCGTCGCGTTGTGATGACGTCACATACGCAATTTTGTCGACTGCGCTTTTGTGGAACGCGGTTTTGACGGGTCACGCCATTCCCCACCATCCAGTCAGAGCTGGAGAAGCTTCTGGGATGAGGAGCGAAACGTCTTCAAAAGGGAAAACCAGAAAGTCCAGTTGCCTCCTTAAAAAAAAAAGCACCATTGGGATGACGGAGAATCTCTACAGGCTCCTCCAATGGAGAGTTTTTGAAACACTTTCTAACCTCATGCAACACAACTGACCGGTTAAATCAGCCTCCCCTCCAGGTCCCAGGAGAGAGGATTCTGCACTGCACACCCGCTTTGTGATTGTGTGACGTGGCAACATCCTTTGCGGGGAGGGGTGGGTGGGGGGGAAGCTGAGACCCCAGCTGGAGAGGAATCCCACAGGTCTGCAGCCCCCGTGGCAGCCAAGGTGATGTGAGATCTGCCCAGCATCACATCGATGGACATCATTTAG